GACGTCTCTAACCTCAACCTTAACATAACGGTTTGGTTGGAGGATTGGTTTGTTTTTTGTTTTTTTAATCTATATTTCCACATGGTGTTTGGAACCCAGTTCAAACCTGTTTTCGACTCCTCTATATTATTATATTACTATCAATATAGATAGCTAACAGGAAGTTAATTAGGCTTTTTAGATCACTGTTTCTTCATTCACACAGAACTATCGAGTGGCTGCTTGCTGTCTCAAATGTTGAATGCACAAGCAACAAGTGGAAACTGTTTTTGCTAGTGTTTAAGAGTGCTCAGAATATAGTGGAATATAATCGTGTATGGAGTGACTGAAGAGGCGTAGATTTTGCTGCAAGAATTCAAGAACAGTTCAACATTTTAGGATATATGCTGATTTGCTTTCTTTTCTCTCTTGAGAGTTAGATGAAAATGTTGATATCATTCTCAATGATGTCTGGTCAATGAAAGGGTCAGTCAGCCAGCAGTCAGTTAGCTTAGCTTAGTCTAAAGACAGGGGGAAACATCTAGCCTGTCTCTGTCCAAAGGCAGAAAAATCTGCCTTCCAGCACCTTTTAGGTTAACTAATTAACATGTTGTATCTTTTTTGTAAGTGTAAAAATGACAGATTTCGGTTGCATGGGGGTTGTATGCTGGATTATTTCCTTGCCAAGTGCAAAGGCTTCTCTGCTGGTTGCCGGGCAACCCCAAAGTGACGACTAAGGCAATATGGTTCTTACAGCCATACATGAGACAAATTTGAGAGCGCTATCAATCTTATTATCGAACTGCTGGCAACCCTATTGTCAAAAATGTCAAACTATTCCTTCAATAAGTGTCTATGTGTTTTATCTTGGTCATTTACACTGTCTCCTGCTATGAAAACCATTGGAAAACATAGTGACTGACATGAATTCACAACTACAACCACTGTTCTCTGTGAAAGTTGATTTTATAGCTTTTTAATTACCATCTTTCACACGGGAGGTGGGTGTTTCATAGTAACTGATTTTGTATTAATGATCACTTGAAGTATTTAGAGTACACAGCAGGTTACACTTTTTAAAATCAGCCCAGAGATTACATCAGTAAAAAAAATTTGTAATCATATATATAGGATTTAATTAGTAAGCACTGACTCAACACTAAATTTGCTCTTTAAAGACGTGTTAAAAACTTCAACCAAAGTAAAATATGGATAAGGGTTGACTAAGAGAAAAGATGACATAAAAGAAACAGAAAACGTCCAAAATGAAAACATCTTTTTATTTGTCATACACTTTGTAAAGGATGAGTGCAAATAAAAGAGCTTGTGACCAAAATCTACTCATCACTAAGCCATGGACCATAAGGCATCATTAAATACAAGCTTTTTGGAGCTATCATCTACAATACAAGGACGGAATCAAGGAAAAGAAACAACACAGCATCAATGCTTATGCAATTAGAAGGAAAATGGAGGAAAATAAATTTAAATGAACAGAAAACAGAAACAACAAAAAAAAAACACAACACAATTTGTACATTCAAAAGAAAGAAGTCAAAAAATTCACAAGGAATATTGATATTACGGCAAGTGACGATAAAACATAGTCTACAATCTGTTATGTACACTTGGCACTAATGTTAGATCTTTGATTGTTGTCCAGTCAGGTTGTTGTCAACTCTAGCATGTGCACAGGTCGCTCTTTTTTTATTTTTTTAAATTATTTAAATGCTAGTCTAATTCATTTATATAATCTATAAATATTCTGAAACAATCATTCTCTCAAAGCTGTTGAAAAGTTTTGCAAAGCCTGACGTTTAAACTTCATTAGGTATTGAGATCAAACTGCTCAATGGACAACAGTTCATCAGAAAAATGCTCACATACTTTTTATATATAGTGTAGAAGGATTTTTTTTTATAACAAGAATCAATCTTTGATAGTCCATCTCATGCACTTGAAAGTTGTAAACAGTACAAATATAAATGATTCACTTACAATATTTGAATCCCAGCAATTCCAAAATAGACAGACAGACTCCAAAAAACAGCAGCAGATTGTTTATATGCATTTTCCAACACAGAGATGTGTATATAATGAGGTGGAAAATGGCTATTTAACATGATTGGATTGTCTCTATCTATTTGACGTGGCTGGAAAGAATCAAAAGCAATATACAGCTCAAATGACGCCTCAGCTTCCAATTCATGATGATATGACTCAGTTTTGCTATATATCTAAAACATACATTTAAAATATATTATGATATTCAGTATGAAGTACAAAAATGGCCTGGGGTGGTCTTCAGCATCCTGATATGTCTTTACTGATATGTTAAAGGGAAACTTCAGCCAGATTTAAGTTATTTACTAGTTACTTTAACTTTATAATCCATAAACTCCATAATCCACACTTGTTTCAACATTTAAAAAATATGAAGGCAAGTTTAAGATTTGTCCTCCATAGTCAACTTTTCAACAGTGTTGTAGTCAGTTCTAGTTAATAACAAGACAAGACAATTTTGACTGTTTTGTCAAATAAATTAACGATGAAAACCAAAGTCAGAGAAGAGAACAACATTATGAAGATCTGCTCAAATATCGTAATAGTTAATAAAATGGTCATTCACTTTCTGTTCAGGGTGTGAAAATATAGTTTTTAGTTACAGCGCTTCACAGGGAGGCATTGGCGTTTTCCTCTAAAATGAAAATGTTCTGAGTGGACATGCCTTTGCCTTAAAGTGAGACTATCTATCTTCTGAGAGGAGAAATAACTAACAAATAAAAAGTTGAATTCATAAGTAATAAAATAGACAAATGCTCAGTTCAGTAAAGCTGCTAGAGTCCGACTTGTTTTAGTATGACCGTAGCTTAACTGATATTTCTGAGCAAGTTTACTGACATTTCTCTACTTGTGCTGCTCATACGGTAAATTGGCATTTAAGCTAAATGCTAACCATAGTTGTAGAAGTAGTAACTGATCATTACATACTCGTTAACGTCCATTTTAGTCTCTGTGGTCACTTTCCAGCAAAAGTTGCAGCCTCACTTTAATTAGCTCCACCGTGCGTGAATCTGTTTGCATCCCCTTTTTGTCTTTTCAGCTGACTTTTAATGCAGTCAAGCTGTCTCCACAATTCACTTTGCATTCAGTCTGAACACACCTTTAGACAGCTGATTTATGAATCATTAATTTAAGTAATTTATTGTTAGAGAATGTAAGTTGGCAATTATTTGGGAGAGTTCATCTTCGATCATTTCTACTTTCTAGTGTAGCATATTAAAAAATGTTCAACTTTTACCCGTTTAACTGTTGTTTATGACATTAATGTTGATGAAATATATACTGATTCTCAAAAATGCTCAGCATAAAAGTGAAAAAATATAAGTTAAAGGATGTTCTGGATAAAAATTCAGGTTGAGGCAGGATGAATTTGAAGATGTTTTTTTTTTATAAAGTTATTTTTTTGGCCTTTTATTGCCTTTATTAATAGTGACAGCCGAAGATAAACAGGAAATGGGGGAAGAGAGAGAGGGGATGACACGCAGCAAAGGGCCGCAGGTCGGATTCAAACCCGAGCCGCTGCAGCAACTCCATACATGGGTCGCCAGCTATACCAACTGAGCTAACAGGGTGCCTGAAGACGTCAAATTTAAACTGAGTACAACACTGCTTTTAAGCAACTCCGAACAAATTTTAACAAACTTAAAAGTTTTAGTTTTGCCTTTTTAAAGGTCATGTGCTCTCCATGTACGCATCTAACAGTCAGTCATTACAGAGCTTGTTAAAACATATTTTTCCTGTACAGAGCCAAATCATTCCAGACCTCGGACCCAGGCCCGTAAGCAACAGCTTTCTTTGTCCAAACTATTTTATAAAACAGTTTCAAACACTACTCAGAAAGCTTAAGTTTTATTTTCAATACTCTGTTACTGATTAGGGTATACAAAGTTGTGTATTGATTGAATAAAATAACTTACTGGACTGACTACAGTAGCAAGCTTTAGATTTTTATCTGTATCTATTATATTCTGTATCTATCATTAGCTATTTAAAGTAAAATAATATACATTTATTTTATAGGTAATGAGGGATGGGGGGCTCAGTGATAGCATTTCTGAAGGGAAATTAGTTCTGTAAAAGTTGGCGAGATACATTTCAAGTGTCAGCGATTTCACAGAACAGCGTAAAGTGAGGGAGTCCTGGTCTGACCAGCGGCCTTTTTTTTTTTCTTCCCAAGATATTGTTCAAACATCTCGCTTATGTTCACAGGCAATATTCAAAGCACAGGCTGATCAGAGAACAGTCTCCCATCAAAGAACCATGCCAACCCATCCCCACACAAACGGGGATGCTGGCTTCTTCACATTCAAATGGTACGGTGTGTAAATAATAGGACATTTTTAAAGGTAAATAAAGCTTTTCAAACAAACATGTAACCTGTACAGACATCCACACATGAGAGACCATGAGGTAACACTGACAAAATGATCTACACAGTTGACAGACATAAGAAATGGCAAGACAATGTTGTGAAAATATACAATGCTTGATGTTACAGTTACATTCATCCAAAACAAAAAGAAGGGGAAAAAAATCTACATTTGTACTCAAACATGTGTTTTTTTAAGTCCAAGATGATGCGATCAATCCGATCAAGTTACAAGCAAGATACATCCAGAAATAAATCAAATATTATGAAGGGATCAAGTCAATAGTAAAAGACAAAAAGATAAAGGAAAAAATATCCTGTATGGTTTAAATCAAACCAAAGAAAATTATGAGTCCCGACTGCTTTGAGAAGCTGGACAGTCAACTTATCTGTACACACACATGCCAACATTCCATGAAAATACACACAGCACGGGCAGTTTTCATCACTGGGCTGGCTTTTGGATTCAGTGCATTCTTTAAGGAGGTGGGTTATTTATGTAGAGTTATGGCGGCTGTTTTGTTTTTGTTTGCTTTTTTTTAAGTTGCTGATTGTTTGCTATTTTGTGTCCCTAACTCATTTGACATACTCAGCTGACTTCCAGAAGTGCCCTGGGTGGGAAAGGCGACGGTTCCGTTTTGGCAACTTTTCCAGTAAATCTACCAGCTTGGAGAAGCTGGGCCGCTCTTCCTGCTTGAACGCCCAGCACAGAAGCAGAATGTCCTGGAAAAGACAGAAAAGGCCTTTTAGATTTCTCAATTAAACATCTTGAGGTGTATCATAGGGTCTTCCAGGTAGGTCGGTATTTGAGACTCAACAATCAAATCAACAATCTTTCTCAAGAATGATTGACCCCACTTTCAAAGGTCGAATGTGTAAGATTTAGATATATATACTGTAGATATAAAAGGCTCATTCTGAGCTAACAAAAACACAACAACTCTTATTTTCAGCTGATTATACACTAATGAAAACATACCTATAAGTTTTATATTCCATTTCTGCCAATAGATCCTCCCAAATGTTACATACTGGCACGTTAAATCTTTACTTAAAACCTAAAAACCCTAAAAAAAAATACTTTTCTTATAAACCACCAGGGTAAATGTAATGCATTTATGCAAAATTACATAAGGATGGCTAACAGATTTCTAATTCCCTTCTTTAGAAAGCTTTTCATCACTTATGAGCATTCTTCTAAAAACATTCTATGTTCCTTGGTATACTTCACCTTGGTGTATCCAGCCCCAGTTTGCTGGATTGTCTTTATCACGTTTATTTTTTTGTTTATAAAATGTGTTGGTGAAAAATTAGTCTAGGATTCAATGAGTGCTTAAACGTGAAAAATATGCAGCAATTCACCCAAGTTTGAAAAATAGAGTGACTCATGAACTGTGACAAATTAAAAAGAAAAACTTACTGATATCTCCTTCCCCATGCCAGTTTGTGCGAGGTTGGGCTTCATCCCGCTGCCAATCTGCCATATGATCACCTCTGCTGGCTGACTCTTGTAAGGCCACTCACGTGCGTGTAACTCGTACCAGATGGTGCTGTGAAGACAGAACGGAGCGGGTCAGTGCTTTGGACTGTCTGGTCAAGAGAATAATACCAGTCTTCAAAACACACCTATGGAGGGTTCACGTCCCAATCAGTGCTAACACAACCAGGCAAGATGTCAGTCACAACTATAAACGATCCAACTCAGTGGTATTGATCATCTGTCAGATAAATGTACAGCTACAAAAAGAGCATTTTTGGGGGCTGAATTGTTTCTGCAAGTTAAAGTTTTGAAGAACAATTTCATCCAGAACAACACATTTTTAATTACTGCTCATGCAACATTAGCATACACCACCCTCCCTGTGCAAATAAGCGGTTATTTTCATTCTGCTCTTGCTTGTCATGTTTGAGTAGCATAAAAATAGCTCTTTGCCAGGAGTAGGGGAAAAACTGACAGCTGATTGTTGATGAATATGTAAAACAGCCTTGGGGGTCACCTCTAGGTAACACAAGGACTAACAGAGCAGCTGGACATTGTGCACCAGTGCTGCACTCTGCTTCCCTTTAGAATGATACAGCGACAAAACCTCCATATGGGGGACCATCTGAAAATGCAATTGTGCTTGGAGTCAACAGATCAGGGTCCACCTCCACAAACGAATCAGTAATGGCAGCAGAGGAAGACCAGGAGCCGTGGGGATTTTTAATCAACTTAGGACAAATATAAAATTGGACCTTGGAGGAGGAGGGGGAGGCCACCTTGGTTTGAGAAACCAAGAGACACTCAGAAAAGCAATTTGTATGTAATAATTGAGGGAGTCAGTGAGATGAACATTTTGGGCAGTTTCCGGTTTCAGGTGATGGTAGGTGGATTTTGTTATCTTAAGATAGAGTCAGGATAGCTTTATGCTAAACTAAGCTAACCTGCTGCTGGCTATAGCTTCATATTTACTGTACACAAATGAGACTGACATCAATCTTCTTACCTAATTGTCCACAAGAAAGTGCATAAGCATATTTCACAAAAATGTTGAACTGTTCCTCAAATGCACTGGCTCATAACTTGCACAACTGATACTTTTATGTATATATCTGCAAGCTCTACTGTAAACTTCAGAAATTCAGGGTATTTGATTTGTTTTGTTTTTCCGTCGTTATTTTGAAGGAGGGTACATTTCGTGATGTTTTTCAGTACTACAGTTTATTTTTATTCCCCTCGTATTATGTTACTTTGTATTCTGTTTAAATCAGTATTGTTGTAAAAGGTTGAATACAAAACAACTGCACCCCGCCTGTCTTTTCGTCAATAAAAAGATGATTATATAAAACAAAAAAGTGTATGAATGTTAATTATCCATTGTGTGTTTGTTTTTTTTTACATCTGTGCTTTGACGTCTACACTTGAACTACCTGTTACAGAAATACTTTTGCAAATAACATCCTCATCACCAATGAATGGGCTGCAGTAGTGGGAGAAAAAAACATGTATCATAAAACATAGGCCATTAGAATTAACAATAAATCTAAATCAAGAGTAATAATGAGTTAATTTGCAAAAACAGATAAAAGCTTTTCTTTCACAGAATAAACCAACACAAGTTTGATTGATATTCCCTTGAGTAATACAAAAAAACATGATTTAAGTAAATAAATCAAAACAATATCTGGTTGTACCTTATTTCAACTCTGTGGAAGTCCTATTCAGTGCAGTTAAAAGCCAATCAAATAGAGTCACTGAGGAGTTCAGAGGGAATCGAAGGTGTAACTTTGTTCAAAAATGTAACATATCTGACGTAAAATGGAAAATACCTAAGTGGTACCAAGTTACAAATGAATGCATTTCACTGTGGGGTGGGGAGGGGGCAGATCATTGGATTTCACTTTTTAAGTAGCAAGCTCTCCCAAGCATTATTCATATTTTCTTTCAGCTCTAATCTTGACTAAGAGAAAAACTGTAACACCATCCCCACAATATCTCAACATAATATAATGTTATTGATTGGTAAAATTAATTATGCCCAAAGAATTAAACCACCAAATCACACAACACAAGTGGAATTAGTACTTCCCAAACATAACAAAATGATGTGTCCTGTGTACCAAATTTTGCAGCCATTCTTTATTTTGAAACCACGAGCTGTCAGTGTCACTTTTTGTGACACATTTATATTAGTTTTCTACACATTTTTAATTCACTGTAGTTCTGCTTTCTGTTACTGTAAGTTTCAAGATAAATGAAGGTGGGAGCTGCTGTAAGACAGCGACAAATGATAACATAATATTGTTGAATCATTGACACTCTTTCCCCCTAACTCCCCAATCACCCAATAACTTTCAGTCTAAAGTTCCTTAGCTTTCGTCAGTCTGTAAAAACACATTCTTGTAGTCTTTCTTTGCAGTCATTAACAACTGATTTTTACTATTTTCACTATATTTTTTAATTTTTTTATCTTTGAACATTTACATTTGCCAATCAGGAGATACTGGCCACTGTAGTGTCATTTTCCTCTGATGCTCTGTGGATGAAGGTTGAAATTTTCTATTCACCTCACACAAACTCTTGTTGCTGCTGCCCAAACATAAAGCTCCATCACCTACTGCGCAGCTGAGACTTTAACCTGGTAAACGCTCTAATAGACACAAGCTGTTTGAATACCCAATTGTAAAAACTTCCATGAGATTAAGTTTAGCATATGTTCAATCAGAAATGCATCATCATTTGTAAATCTCATCCTGCCTAATCAATCAGTTGATGTCCCTTAGCTCCTCAACATTCACACACCTTACCCTCTTCCTGCGATATATAGGTTTTAAAGGTAATTCCCTATGGTTTGCATCATTTGATCAACTAAGCTTCAAAACCTTCTCTTGCACCCACATGGGAGAACCAATCAAGAACCAGTGCACTCTTTGTTTAACCCAGTCAGCTTCTTTGGTATATCCCAGTCTTCTTGCTGCCAATGCTTTGTACATCACTGCCTCCAAGGGTTCATTCGTAAAGTGTATGTGCCAAGTCATGGGCCTTCACTGTTCCTGAGAATATGAGATCTTTCTAATAATCAGGTATATGGGACCAAGTGGAGTCTATGTCAAAATCAGATATTTTTTAAGCAATTAAGTTTTAAAATTGTTAATCCTGCTCTCATTAAATGGTTATAAGTTGGATATCTAAAGCCTGACAATAACAGAAGCAAAAATGTCATTTAAAATATCACATTGTCTTTGTACAGTAAGCAGTGAAAATCTGTATCTATAATGAGATCTGAAAACCTGTTAATGAGAGTTTCCTCTTTGTCATGTGATGTGGAATTTTAGGACACTGCTCTGTAAAAGTATTAATTTATTGAATTCACACACATATTTTGGGTCCGTAAAACCTCTCTTTCAACAGTGGGCTATGATTGTCCAACATCAGGCTGGACAAACAAACAGGAAGGCCTCAGGTAAGAGGACACTTACCCAAAAGCAAAGACATCTGACTGTTTGGAGAAGGGAAGTTTGTCCTCCTCTGTGTCCGGAGAGAGCTGCTGGATGATTTCTGGGGCCAGGTGACACAGCCAGCCGTTGGGGATCCTCAGTTTGTCTTCTCTCCGGCTGCAGAATGAGGAAATATGCAGATGGAGACTTGTCAGGGTTTACTGATCTCCTGTATCATGCTGCCAAGTCATTAAAGATGTTACATTGCTGCATTTTCATTACAACACATTGTCATTGCAGCCAGCCATAATATGATAAGTTGATGATGTTGCTTTTCAATTACTGTTTCAGAAAAGTGTGAGTGCTTTGCAGTTCCATCACCGGCATATTGTATTTTATCAATGGTATAGGCTGTGTGATAACGACAACCATTGAAATTAATTGCAAGTCACACTGTAAGAGGGGTCTAATAAGTTTTGATCACAATCTGTGTTATACTGTACAATAGCAATTGTACAGTAACAGTATAACAGCACATCCAAGCCTGCTGAATCATAATCTGCTACAGTATTGCAAGAGTACAAAAATATGCAAGTAAAAACATGTAATTAACTCATACGATGTGGAGCAAAACAATACCTTCCATGCCCTCCCATGCATCTATAAACCTCAACAGAGGAAAAGAGGGTTACAGGAAATGCTGGTATAAATAATTTGAGCTTGTCAGCTTGAGTTTCAGTCAAATCCTCTGACTGATCAGAACTATCTGTCCACGGTTTTGTCCTTTAAAGGAAAATGATAGTGTTTTCTCTAAAATCTGGGTTTCATTTTAGTTTTATTATTAGTTATTGTGGTTTAATTGCACCCTGTGTGAGTATTGTTGAATATCACTGTGATGGGCAGAACTACAAAAAGTGATACTGATTGTAACTGATTGTCGTCATTGTACTATTTGACCGATCAATCAGCAGTTTTAAATCAACTGTTTTAAAAATCGATAAAGTAAAATAGATTAAATACCTACAACATTTTGGGAAATAAGCTTATTCATTTTCTTGCCAGGAGTTAGACGAGAAGATCAATAAGACTTGTCATTGTTTTCTGGGTAAATATTAAGCTAACACCAGCAGACGGTTAGTTTGGCTTAACATAAAGACTGGAAACAGGGCGAAACAGAAAGTTGGCTTTGTCCAAAGGTGGCCAAATCCATCTACCAGCACTTATAAAGCTCACTAATGATGCGTTATTAACACATATTAGACAAATGTAAAAATGACTTGGTTTTACTGGGAGTTACATGTAACTATTTCTTGGCAAACAGCAGCCTGCAGTGACTATGGAGTCTTGTTGTCATTGTGATGCCAGGACACCAACTTGGATTAAACATACAAAATACAACATGTTATTCAGTGAGCTTTCATAGGTGCTTCTTAACCTTTGGACCGAGCCAGGCTAGCTGTTGCCCTGTTTCTTCTCTTTATGCTAAGATAGCTAATCGTCTCCAGGCTCTAGCTCCATAGTTAATGCACTGATAGAAATCTCTGCTGGAAAACATATAAGACTTCTCATAATCTTGAAGTATTTATTTAAAATGAGTGGCACTCATAAAATACTACTCAAATATGCAACTGTGCATACATTTAAACTCTCCCACCATCTTACCCTAACAGCTATGTTCATAATTTAATATCTAAACATTTTATGACTCCAAAACACAACAGATTATTGTACTATGTGAGCATTACTTCATAACAATATGATTAGGGTTAGGGTTATATATTGGAAACATCACTGTTAATTATTCCTGCTGTGCAGGCAGATTAAGGTGTTTTCAAACGTTCACTGCACTGCTCTCTCTGGTCTTTCACTACTCACAAACATTTTGTGAAAGGTTGATGAAAGTCTTGACCTCATGAGGTCAAACTCCAGCAGATACAATATGTGATTACTGGTTTGCTCAGCCATAACATGGCAAATGACAGAAAATATACTCTATTTGTTAGAGGAGTAAGAACCAATTTATAGCGTTTTGATCGTTACCAGTGATTCACTGTTTTCTTTGTAGGACATTTCTGCTTGTACCGTCGGCTTTATCCAACACTATTGAATTTCTCTGCTCATCCTTGACCTGGTTATTCTCTTTTTCTTTCTCTTGAACACCTCCCTTAAACACAGTTTGTGTTCTTCAATGGGGAAGTGAGAATTTCTTCCATGACATCTGTAAAGATAGACTGAAGACAAACAGATTTTGTTTGATTTATGCCAATTTAAGGTAAAAGGTTGCACTTCTGTAAGTTAGGCATGTTATACTTTAAACACAGACTTAGTTGGGTTTAACCATCTCTAGCTCATTATCCATAATCCATGGTGTTTCTTGTCAAAAAGATGATGTTGCAGGAGAGAAAATAGGAGCCAGTAACAGAAGCAAATATTTATCTGAGCAGAAAAGCTGACACAAGATCAGCTGATCAGTTTGGTCAATTATTAATGGTAATTGTACAATCTTGAACGTTTTACTTACTGGTCTTAAAATATATAAAAAAGTAAAGCTGACTGTTTTTGTGTGAATATTATACAAATTCCTGTATTACACATGCTAAAAAAACTGCTCCTGCCTCTGATGTGTATTGGCCATAATTACCTGCCAGCCTGCAAAACCCCAGATATGGTGAAGAGTCCAAAGTCGGTGATGACAACTTTGCCGTTGTCATAAAAGACGTTCTTGGACTTCATGTCTTTGTGTAAGATCCCCTTCGCGTGGAGGTAGCCCATCCCCTGAGGACAGAGAGAGCGAGAGAGATGTGAATTTCCTGTAATATAATGTGTACTGCAAAAGTGTTCTGGGGAATCAGTGGTGAGTTGTTTTACCTTGACCATCTCTTGTGCGATCTGTCTGGTCTTGTTAACATCCAGGACAACTTTGGCATCGCGCACCACAGAATAAAGTGTCCTGCCTTTACACAAGCTGTGAGAGAGAAACATAGACAAGGACAAGATTTTCGATTTACTATGTTGACGTGTAATAGTTTTATTTTACTTTAAAACATTTGGCAACACGTCAACCCTGTGATCACATTCTGACACTGAATCTGAGTTTGAATGTCCACCTTCCCACTAACCATGCTGGTGTGCTTTTACAGTCATTTACTGCTTGTCTGGTTTGATGATTTCCTCATTAAAGCATCGCTGTTTTCTCACAGTTGCCAAAGTGATGGATTGTGATGATGATGGGTGGAGCCATGTGAGCATGACTGACCATCTGTTATGGGCCACAAAGTAGTAAAAACATGTGCACTGCTTTTCCACTACTGTCCTTCAAAATAAAATATTGTGCAGCATCAAATTGGGCTTAAATGTTGCATATGTGTTTTTATATCTTGTCATGTCATGGCATGTTTATGTCTTATGTAAAGCACTTTGATTGCCTTGTTGTTGAAAGGTGTTAAGTCAATTAACTTAAGAATTAACTGCAGTGTCATGGCACATTCATTTTACAGTGGTGGGAGTGTGGATTGTGGACTTTTCACCACCTTGCCTACGGTTTCATGTTCATATACAAAATATTACCACTTTCTTTAGAGCAAATGTCCAGAGTGAAAGCATCCTTAGTTGGAATACTAACACAGTATTACATTTTTAAGCTCTTACAATACTCTCTTTTTAAATAACTGGTGATATGAGATATCCTTTAGCCTCTCAGTTCACACATTGCTGCACTCACTTCATTTAACCAGTCATCTTTTAATGTGTTTTTGCCACTTTTAACCAAAACACAGGATTACCCCGAAGTTCACATGTGTGAGACTGTGTCAGTGAGTTAGTGCAGTTTGAGATGTTGTTAGAGGATAAAATGTCACCATTCTGAACTGAAACGTGGGCCCACTCTGTGCCAGGGTGAAGCTGCGGTGTGTGGAGGTGGTGTCATATTTCTGGAGGGGTGCCATCACCACGGCGTATTAATAGACAGCTCTACAACCACCCCCTGCCACACACCTGAAGCCCTCAACCCCGACTGTGCCACGCAGGTGACCAACAAAGGACCTGAAGCCAACAGTTCATGCATATTCATTCACAACGTTAACCTGACAGCAACTGCATTTTTAGTAGCTCTCTTCCCTCAGGCTCTTTTCAACACAGAAAAGTGGTTTTATGGCTTTTGTGACACCATAGACAACACCTTTACATCAACATTACATCTTATGACAACAATTACCGCTATACCTCCGACAAATAGGATGTGTATAAGCCATACTAAAGACACAGAGGAACTTCAACATGCTGAAAGGCACGTATGTGCTTTGAAAAGGAGTAATTATGGCTTATCCATAGATAAAAACCCAGCAGTAACATTACAGATGACCCTGTGTTATCTATCCTCTGCAAATCCAACCACAGTCACTTGAAACAAATGAAGTAATCATGGAAGAAGGTACAATCAATACTTATGTTTCCACTAATGCAACCTGAAAACCCTTAATAAGCCAATAAACCCCCACAACAATCTTACAGTTTTGTCATGTTGCACTTTGGGCTGCAAGAAAAAGATTTCATGTTTTAGTTCCTTTTTTTTAAAACTGTGTAATAAGAGAAGCAGAGTATTGGTGGATAACAAAGCCACCTGTTGCACTGACATTTGCTATTATATTCAGCAATCAGCACTGAGGATTTCTGAAAAGCAGCCAGCTCGTCTGTCAGCTCCCCTGCTCTCTCAACAGTTTCAGCTGGCATTAACTGCAATCACGCATCTCAATCAATCAGTCAATTAATCAGTCAATCCGTTATTTTAAAGACATTTACAACCACAGTAAATGCGATGGGAATGGAGGGAATTTTTTACATTTAGCTTTGTTTCCTGAAGCATTATTTAAACTGTGAATCCCGCATGGAAATTCCTCTGTTTCTTTTCTTTTTTGTCTTTCTTGCATAAAAGAAAAACAATAATTTATTTATATGTTGAACAAAAACAGAAAACAAAACAAAAGGGTTGTTGTTTTTTTTCGTTTTTTAGTGAGACATCTTTGTTCACAGCCTGTGCTGATATCAGTGGGGGAGTGGTAAATATCTGAACAATTTCCCTTTGAACATTATTAGCTGTGCTAATTAATTAAACAAGAGAGTATTCTTAGTGATGGTCTTTAACAAGAACACAGCCCTGTCCTCCTCATTACAAATGAGAAAATACTTGCAGCAAAAAATGTGAAGGCTAATCCGTGAAATAATTAAGGTTTTTCACTATATGAGAGGATTCATTCAAGTTCACTCCAACCGTGTGCTGCAGTCAGTTGTACTGTACAGTGAAGACACATGCAGCAAGGGGATGTGGGTGGTTCATCCATTCAACAATAGTAGAAGCTTGTTCTAATCACAACCTCTGCATGCGTCATTGTCAGCCACTCTAAACTCATTGTCGCGAGGGGCAGATCTGTGGCTGACCTAAAATGAGTGGGGGACAAGGATTGGCTCTGGAGGAGCGACCACTCAGAGTTCAGGAGCAGAGCAAAGCACAAATTCAGAGCTGTGATGTCAAGTTTTATTGTTATTCATCCCCTTTCTCTCAATTTGGTTTGAGACAAATTATCTATGTGGAAATGTTTGTGCGAATCTTTTGCAATTGGTGAACTATTAATTAAAGATGCTGTTTTTTAGATAAACATGCTTCCGTTCTTAATACTTTTCTGGACGGTGTTGACAATACACAAGGTGTATTGTCGGCATCCTCCAGGCTATATCACTTTTGCATTGTTAGGCTTTATCCACACTTCTAATGTAAAGCACATTTGTGCAAACCATTATACAGCTGTAGATTCCTTTATCTACTTCAGTTTTATTTCCAATATGGTTATTTTTATCTGGGTTTGCAATTTTTCTACCGTCAGCAGAGTGATATTTTTTGTTGTTTACACAGACTTCTATTTATAAAGATGCAATTTCAATATATATAAGTAAATCCCATTATCCAAATATATTTAGAAATAACTATATTTATGGACACATCGATGAATATCTCTATATAATTATTATATAATTCAATATATTGTGGGTATGAATATATTATTGAACTTTACATGTTTTTTATGGTTACTTTTATTTATTTTTCTTTAAATTATATTTGCCCTCATGTTCATGGTGTTGTGCACTGTGCAACAAATTACGGTGACCTTGAAGTGAATCACAAGGACAAATAGGACAACATAACAACAAACAGGAATACAACCTTAACTTCTAGCAGAAGAAGTTAAGTTGTTTTCTGCTTTGTGGTTGTGGTTTTTGTTTTGTTGATGTGTTTTTCCATTTGCTGTTGCGTTTTTTCATTTGTGGTTGTGATTTGCGCTTCAAGGTAACTGTAGAAATGCTTTAAAACACTTCATAAGCAGGTTTTCAGTATGTTGTGTGTTCACTTCAAAACTGCACAAAAAAAAGTGGTAGTATGCATACTACTATTGATGGACACCAATTGTCAATGGCAATTAACAAGAAAAATTGAGGTGCTATACTATAAAGATTTAATATCTAATATAATATAATATATAATCTAGAATCTTTTCCAGGGTAGTGTAACAGTCTCTATGAAATATGACAACACAACAACACTACTTGTTGAGTTGATTTCTGTAAAACACAACCTTGTTACATTTTAATTCTTACCTGGTGATGATAGCCAGATGTGGTGGGCTCATGCAAGCCCCCATAAACAGAACCACATTCTCGTGGCGTGTGTTGCGGTAGGCCATCACCTCACGCTTGAAGGCCTTGAGCTGGTCCTCGTTGTCGCGCTCGATGTCGATCAAGCGGATGGCCACCTCACCATGCCAGCGTCCATGGAAAACTTTACCGAAGCGTCCCTTGCCGATCATCTCCCCAATCTCCAGCTGCTCAAATGGGATGTCCCACTCCTGCAGGAAGATGCTGGTCTGACTGGCTTTGCGTGGGAAGTTGCGAGCTGACAGAAGTGACAGGTTCATCTCCTCAAACTCGTCACCGGAGTCCTCGTCGTTGCCCTCCTCGTTCTGTGACAAGGCAAAATGTAACTGTTCTTTGGCAGCTGTAAGCCTGAATTTCCCATATTTACAGATTTAGTATGCAAGGTGATTAAAATGCCCTTATTCAACACAAAGAGGTGGTGTTAAAATGTTCTACCAAGATGTCAAATGCTTATTTTTTGACAAATGCCATTCAGCAGCTGGTGTCATATAATTTTTGTACTTTTCTATACATGCAATTATTGTATCTTTATTTCTGAATTTTAGTTTAGTTGAGGTCATTAATAAATATATACTCACTACTGTTTAAATCATACATATGCTCTGGCATATATGTAAAGAACAATACTTGCATTAGATTTTTCTGAAGCTATGTGCATTTGAAATACTGTCTGCTGTTTAGGCCATTACCAATAAAAAAATAGAGAGTTATGAAAAGAGAAAACAGCCAGGGGGAAAAACTGGCAGATTTGGCTGATTTGATTTTAAATATAATGTACCGGCAGAATGAAAATTACCTATTCAAAGTTGCCTGCTCGAATATCATTCAAGGCAATCTGCATCACATTTTCTCAAAATATATCATTGTTGCAGAAACTATCAGTGAAGCTGTTTTTCCTTCTTGCTGCATAACTTACCTGGAAGCTCCCCATAGAGCTTAGCCAAATTATGCGAAATGAGTGAACAACGCAAATGACTGCGACAAGTGATGGTGAGAGCTGTATATATTCTTCATTCAGATTCTTCACACTTACTTCTCCATATGTGGAGAAGTGAAACAACGGAATGGATGACAAGCCTAAATTCACATACAGTCAAAAGCATCAAAAAGATCACCCTTAGAGATCAAAAGAAGCACTCACATCTGATGTAGGTTCAACTTCGATTTGAAGTAAAGGGTTGCCCTCATTCCTAAAAGGAAGAAGAGTAGATGTAGAAATAAATCAGAGAGAAAACACTGTAAATAAAGTAGCTCTCCTTTCACATGAGAGCCTGTAATTCTTCACTCCACTGATCAGGTTTTTGGCTCTTTATTGTCCCCATAAAGTGTGAACAATCCACTTTTGAAAATGTTGCAGTCATGATTGATGTCCCAAAAAATATGTATTAATGATTGATTGTCATAATGAATTGATAAATATCAATTTGATTACTTGTCGATTAAGGATCAAAAGTGATGCACTAAAACCAGAGATATGTTTTTTTTTATTCCACACATTCTTCTTCCTTGTCAAAACCTGGGGCCTGCATTAGCCACAATGCAATTTGACAACCAACATTTGGTCTCCAGCAGAGATGAGGAGCTGGTTATGTCTGGTAAGTTGACTTCTTTCTAATTCTACACCATCAGATTTTGTTCATTTTCAAAGTTGTAGTTGAGTTCCTCTATAAATTTTGTATATATAATATATATATATATAATTTTTTAAAATTATTATCACATTCTATTAATTGATAAATTATCTCATGCTTGGTTTATAAATATTTTAGCATTGTAGGAATTGTATGCTGATGTAATTGATGGCAGAGCTTAATATGGGAGCCACACGTGTGATCAATCAGGGCAAGTCTATATGTGGACCTTCATGGTTGCAGGCTTTATTTTCTCCTCCTTAATTGAACTGATTGCTCATTTACTGCATGTGTGTCTAGTATAGTTAGGAGAACTGAAACCTTGAATCTGTGAGTGCTGCTGAAACTCAGAGGGACTGAACTGTTTGCCATTGATTTTAGTCTTTTTGTGCACCAGAGCACTTTTACACAATGCAATGTGTCATGGCTGGATTTTGATGCTGTCAGCTGCCCACCCTATTCTGTGAATGGGTATCGTTTTTTTTCTACCAAGACACCAAAGACAAGAAATATTCTGTTGACGCAGAATCACTGTGTTCTAAGTAAGTTCCCATATTGAGGTCATTTTAATGACTTGGAGATGACAACCATTTTCACTGTGACCAGCAAACTTGTTTTATTTTAAATCATCACAACATTTCTTTCCTACGATTGCAGAACCAGCGATTGAGGCTGAGGAAAAAGATAATAGTTAAAAATCCAGTCCTTGGAATCCAACTAGGCTATCCTCTAGCCTTTATTTGTTGATTATTTGTCGCCCCAGTTTTTTGTGGAGCTAGCATTTTCTTTGGTACTATTCTGCTCAATCAGGCTGTGTATTTTGTTCCTAAAAAAAATTACAGAAGATTTTCAGGCCCAGAATATACTGAAAAAAATTAATGGCCCACAGGCTGTAAATCACCTGCAGTGAGAGCACATTTAGCACATCAAGACTATTTGACAGATAAATGAATAAAGTGTGAACTGGATTAAATGTAAGAAAGGGCACTCCTAATTACTGGCAGCATTTTCAGATTTTTAATTTTACATTTGCTTTATGAACTTTCAAGTGCATTTGCGCCCTGAGCCCCTATTAATTCCTGACCCCAGCATGTACACTGTCACCCACACGGTGGGTGCCAAGGACACGACACAAATGAACCCACTTCTCCTCTTCAACCCATCCTCCTCCGTCCATATAACTGGCTGTGTAACATCAGTGTGTAACCTCTCACAACCTCTTTGTGGTATATTAACACTGGTTCGCAAAGCAATCCTGGACTCATGGGCAAAGACCACAGGTGAGGCAGTGTATAAAATAATATGTGATTCCTGTGGCGCCAGGGGCCCCTACCAGCGATTCGATATCTGCTCTAATGAGGGGTACCTGCCGGGTGTTGGGGTCTGAGACAGGCCCTCATTAACCCTGGGATGAGGCCATTAAGGCCAAAGAAATCTGCCAGCTGCCACTGCAAGAGCATACAAAGATGTGGGAAAGGAGGGACAATAGCATTAATTAAATCAGAGGAATATGGGTTTCATAACCGCGCTAATGTATTCAGTCGTCAAAAGGCAGAGAACAAGAGACTGTGAGAGTGAAAAAAGGAGAAATAGAAAAATTGTGAAACTGTCCATCTAGAGATATACCGAGTAGAGACCCGACGACACGAGGGTTCAAGATGATCATGTATGTTTTCACCCTTTTTTCAAGAGATGTCTTCCTCATCTAATTTCTAAATGTCTAGCTACATGTGGCTACCTTCATTTAGAATACACTGGGCTACAATTTTCTCAGCTCTGGAGAAGCCAAGATAAGGGCAGCTGTGGCTCAGAGGCAAAGCGGGTCGTTCCTTAATCGGAAGGTTGTGGGTTCGATCCCCGGCTCCTGGTGCCACATGTTGAAGTATCCTTGAGCAAGATACTGAACCCCAAATTGCTCCCGATGCCATGCTTTGTTCACTGGGACAGGTGTGTGAGTGTGTATGAATGTTAGTTTCTGTTTGATGGACTTTGCCATCACTGAGGGAATGTGTGTGAGGGTGAATGTGGCACGTAGTGTAAAAGTGCTTTGAGAGGTCGGAAGACACTACACAAGTACAGGTCCATTTACCAAATAATGTGGTGCTTTTATTAACTGATCCCAGCGGGGAAATTTATATTTCACCCATCTGGCTACCTACAAGTAGCTACTGTAAAGGACAGCACTTCTTGAACCAATGGATTTTTATAATATCTGATTATACATTATCTGTGTACATAGCATGGAGGCTGCGACTGATCTCTTTTTTCAATGCTGTATTGTATAAAGTTGAACCTTGAAGAGTTTTTATTGAAGTATCTAGCTGTCTGGGGTACGCTCGTAAAAAAAAATCAGTGTTAACCAGAAATTCAAAAACAAACCTGTAATGCTGCGTTAGTGAATCAAAGGCATTCTCTTACCTTTAAACACTATTTTCATTGCCCTTCCGCTTTTTACCTTTTTACCTTTGCTTCACCAGACTTTAGGTCATAAATGTTTTTGTTCAGAAGGGATTATTTACCCTTTAATCGAAAGAAACAAATGCTGCATTACTGGCAAATTAACACAACACTTATTTTAATAGATATCTGATTGAATTACTGACCTGAAAACTGGCCCTTGTTCTGCTAGCCTCTGCTACTAAAGGGTGTATTAGCTTATAGACTGTTTCTTTCCTTGATGTTTTTAAGAAGATAAAACATGGCCCTAAAGGGGCATTTAAATCAGTATGTAGCTAAATGGGCATCTAAGCTATTGCTGTACGAACAGCATCATTTTGATGAAGATTAAACCATGTTAGCAAACAAAACAATATATCTAAGGTTCATGTCCCATTAATGCATGTTATTAACTTAACTTCTTGCCCAGAGTTTTATCAGATTATTATTATTAATATTATTATTATTATTATTATTAGTATTATGTATAATTCATCATCATTATAGCCGTTATCATTATCATTATTATTAGTCACATTTATACTATTACAGTTGTTACTGTTGCTATTGTTATTGCTGTGCATCTCTGTCTGTCTTTCTCTCTCTAGGCCCACATCCCCTCCCCCCTCTACCCCCCTCTCTTCCCCTCTCCCTCTAACCCGAATCGGTCAAGGCAGATGGCCGCCCACCTAGAGCTGGGGTCTGCTCAAGGTTTGTTCTGTTGGGTCTCTGTAAATAATAATAAAGGAGTACAGTATGGACCTGCTCTATTTTAAAAGTGTACTGAGATAACTTCTGTTATGATTTGGTGCTATACAAAAAAAAAATGGTATTGAATGGAATTCTATAACTTAATATATTTATATATCTTAAAATATTTATACAAGGCTTTATTATATCCTATAATATATAATAATATATTTGTTATAATGAAAATGTCCATTATGAGATTTCCTTTCCAAGATCAAACCCCTACACTGCTGCAACTCATTCACAGTCAGCCCCAGTGTGTATAAAGAGACCAATCTGACTTTAGCTGATCATCTCTGTTGCTTTGCTGCTTTAAAAAACTAAATTCCTGCATGCACCTTGTGCACAACTGGCACAAAGACCTTACAATTCAATGGCTTAATATAATCAGAACATCCCAAAAAAACTATTGTCACAATCAATCCCATTCTGTTCAAACCGCTATGGGAGTGTGGCATGAAGACATCAAATACGGCTTTTTTTTTTTTTTTTAATCGAAATACATCACTAACAGTACAGCCCCATGCCCTATACCTTAATCTAAAAACTACTAACATTTGCCTTTCTATGTCTAGGACCTTTTCAAGACTGTGTTGATATTTAAAAAATGAAATTAACAGTGGCATTATTTGCTATTGATTAAACCATTACAATCTATGGGTACAGTCTATATTTAATCACAATTGACCATCAGCCTATAGATGGAGGTTCTTTTCCCCTGTTTGTCTTGATAGATTGAGATCCTAATCTAATTAACATCTGGGTCGAAAGGCATCTCATCACTCCTCCTCCTCTTCCGGTTGTTTTCCCGTGACTACTGGCTTCCTCAAAGAGCCAGTGAAAATCCAGTTGGCATCCCAAGTGTAGCGTGAACTAAAGGCCATGCTAACATTAGTCTCTGAGTATTCGTCATGTCGGCCCTCGCATTGAAATTGTCACCCAAATATCTGTGCTCCAATAAGTTTGACTTGGCCTCTGACCAGCAGCCACACAGAGAAGGAGAACAGGGAGAAGGAGATGAGGGAGCATGCAGATGAGAGGAAGATAACTGAGAGGAGACATGGAGCCTGATGATCAGAAGTACTTTCTTAATTCCTTTCTTACGGTCAACATATGCTTTTATTAAATTACTTGTGTAATAGATTCTACTCACCCTGGTTCAGACAGGACAGGGTGCAGGATGACCTGTGGTGCTCTGCTTGGAGGAGCTTCTGGAGCAACATCTGCAGATATTAGAGTCACAAAATATCAAACCAACAATTTAGAACAAAGTTGCATTCAGTGTTAAATCCTTTTTTAACACTGTTTATAATGCTGTCCGTGCTTTAGAGAGGCAGTGGAAGATCTCAGCTACGGGTGGGTTAGATGTACCTCTATCAGAGATACCATCTCCATTGCAAACCTTATGCAGACAGCTACAGTCCATTTTTAATTATACAGTCTATGGTATAAACACTGCTTTAGACAGGATTTGCTTAATGTAGGAAGCCATGTGAGAGGATTGGGGTCAAAAATGTACTCTGCACCACATCTGGAGTAGTGATGAAGAAACTGACTGAAATACTGAAAAAATAACCAACACCACAAGATTTTTAGTTGATACATTTCAAACTTTTACACAAAATGTATTTTACTCCCCAAACATTTTTTTTTCATTAAACTTACTTTCATCCCATTTTGAACCATTTTTGATCAAACGACCACATTGGTACATTTTGACATATGTACTGGGAGTGTCCTGGCGTAAATCCCTCTGATGTATTTGATATTAAAATACCTTGTTGATGATTATTCTTTGGCATAATCAACAGCAGCAAAGGAAACTATTGAATTCTCACACACTGTCAGTGTGTTTCAGTTACAGACATTAGTCAGGCATCAAATTCACCATATATATTTGTCCATTTAATGCCTGACAAAAGATCATGACTGAAACGTCAAAACACAGCACTGACAGTGTGTTTGACATATCTTTATTTTTCTATGCACCTGGTTTGCGTCAAACAACAATTTGTTTGAATGCAGCATAGAAAATGTAAGCTGTTCAATGGAAACCCCTCACATTCTCCTAATCATATTGAATTGCTACTTTCTTTCTTGAAATTATTTGTATGGAAATATAAACCAGTGTAGAAAATATCTTCATGAAGGGAATACTGGCACGCTCTGTAGTATGGAGGGATATGAACATATGTGTTGATACACGGTTTCATATGTGATATGCTGCACCTACACAGTATGTCTTTAAAGCATGTTAAAAAAAACATTTACTTTGATCAGCACAAAAGGACGTACAGCACATGCAGCATGTCGTATCATTGGAAAAGGAGACACAGCAGGTGGGATTCTCTGCGCTATTCTTGATGACTAAGGTCAGCTGTTGTGTTGTATCTACCTCTGAAAGACATCAGAAGATTCTCTGCCACGCTTGCCGCCTGAGTTGGCACACTATGGCAATTTGTGACACAAAGTGGGAGCCACAAAAAAAACATTCCCTTTGTCGTACGGTGCATTAGTAGCTGGCACCATTGCCTCACAGCAAGAAGGACGTGGTTTTGTTTTCTGTGTGGTGCCTGCATGGATGTTTGCATGGATTTACTCCAAAGACCAGCAAGCCAGGAGGATTGAAGGCTCTAAATTGGCCAATGGTGTGAATCTGAGCCAGTCGATCTGTCAGTGATCCCTGCGACAGACTGACAGCTTCTGCGGGGTATTCCTACTTTCTACCACAAAATGTACGCTGAGCCCCTCGCGAGACTGAAAATGAGCACTTGTGTGGAGACAAAAAATGAATACATTTTAAATCAAACTGTAATTGGCCCTGGGAGGCTTATGCAAATGTTTTTTTTTTGTTTGTTTTCTTTTCTTTTCTAAACAAGAGCTAACATTTACAGTTAATGTAATATGACCTGAATGTGGCATTAGTTCCATTTACAGCATAATGGTTTTAGATTGATTGGGCTAACAGTAAGTGGTAGCATTTGGCCATGTTGTTTTGTAGCTCATAAAGGTAGCCGATGTAGTTTAGCTGAAAAACCGACAACAGCATGTGTGACTACAATAATCAGAACCTCTGTACCACGCTGCATGCTGTATATTTATGCATTTCCAAAAACTCTCCTCAGATCTCAATTACACCTCATTCTTTTCCTCACACCACTCCAGGTTGTCTCGGTCGTAATAACCTGCCAAATGAGCAAAGACTGTGTGGTACCAATGTGGGCAAAAGCAAAGAGTCTGGGCATTGACAAATCATTAGGAGGCCCAAATGAGACAAGCAATGTGTGGGTGTCGGGGCAGAGAGTCTTAAAGCAGGTGAGGAGATGAAAATTACCACCAACATCAAAAGAGCCCTCCTCCTCCTTACTTTTCTGGTTCTGGTTGCAGTGCATTATGGGTAATGATCAATTATGAGGTACTTACCTGGGAAGATGAACTGTTGTTTGTATTTGAAATAACTGGAGGCTGTGGAAGGAGACAAAAGGAGAGTTTGATCTGAAGTCATGTGGACTGTTTGGTCAGTATTTATTCTCAAATATAAATAAATATTAATTTATGTTGGTTAACCAACTCTAGTATTTTATTTACATCCCCCTCTGGATAAATTAATGATCCTCTTGATCCTCCACTTTTCATCTAGTGACATCATCAAGTCAAAACATTAACCTTAAAAAGTGACCAAAAACCTTTAAAACTTAATCACATTTCCATTAGCCTCATATGTAATGTGTGGTTCTTGCTAATTAGCAATTGTTAGCAACATCAACATTATACATCAGCATGGTAGCATTGTAAACATGTTAGCATTTAGCTTAAAGCACCACTGTGCCTAAGTACAGCATCATAGAGCCACTAGCATTAGTCTGCATTAGAGGACACAAACAGGAACTACAATGCTGCCAGACAGTCATTGAGTTAGCTATGGGTAGTTGCTGTTTGCACTGTAACAATGGAAACAGACAGTTATGAGTTACTTTTGATACTGAAGAAAACTTCCAAAACCTTTACTGCTTGCGTCTTTTTCTATTATTCCCAAACTTCAAATCAAATTTATTGATATCCTCAGAAAGTGTCAGACAATGATATGCTTCATTACCTCCTCTGTGATAACCATGTCAAATATTAAAATCTGAGTACTCAGTTCTTGCACATTCTAATACCTGTCAAGTTGAACTGTTTCTGTTGCCGTGCCGACTGTGGGGAGGGATGTAGTGGCGAGGGGGGCGTGGCACTGCTGGGCAGGGGAGGAGCCGGGGAGGATGGAGTGGAGGAGGTGGTGGATGAGGGATTACTGCTGGAGTCTGGTTGGTACGGGACTGGGATGTGATCCTGAGAAGCGACAGAAAAGAGAAAGGTCAACAGAAGCTTTACTTAAACGTCAACATTGGTATTTTGCAAGTTTTAGTCTGTCGTCACAAAATGCTTGCACTCTACTTTATTGTTGGCCTCTTTCTGAATAACACCACAAGTTTCTAGATTGATTTTCTACCTTCCAGGCAGCACTTGGTTTTCATTAATTTCAGTACAATATGAAAATCAACTTGCAGAGACTTGAAACTTGCCCGACAGAGGTAATCCATCACAATGAGCAATACGCTGCCTTTACTTTTATGACAAAGTTATGTTATCATTGCGTAGGGCTGCAGTTGTGAACAGGAAGCATTTTTAAAACTCCCTTCAGAGGTGCATTCAAGGATGCTCCAACATCCGAAAAAAATAAGATTAGCTCAAACTGCTTCACATGCATACTCTCAACTTATTTGAGTGTTGATTAATTATATTTTTGCTGTGAAAACGTAAAATAGTTATTTTTACATGTTTACTATTGGTAGGTTGCATTTGTGGGACATCTAATAAAGCATCAAACGACCCAACCAAACCACAGCTCTAGTTAGAGATGCTCTTTTTTTTAATTTTTTTTTTTTACAGTTTCTCATATCAAAAGTACACATTTCAGGCAGTGGGTCATTGGACATTAGGCATAGGCCAGATGTAGGTGTTTTCTTGGACCTACTTTTAATAAAACATCTGTGGAATCTTGAATTTTTACTTCAGGAATGGCCCCCTTATTTCCTAAACCACCCTGCCACCCATCATAGGTGTCCATTTCAAACCCACAACATTAAGAATAAAAGTTGTCACACGCTAGTACAGCAAAGATGATGATGCAGATGCAATTTCTTAAAAACAACTCAAACAACGTAAACTTATCTCTACATCTATGAAAAAAAAAAACATATCAGTTTCAAAGACAGTTTCATATGATCTGGTTATCCTTTATCATCATTTTCCATTATGTTTTGGTGGTAAAAACATGATGATAAAGGATAACCAGCCTTTATCATAATGTTAATTATGTTGTTACCACCATGGAAATCTTGTGATAAACTTTTTTCCCTCTGTAACTGAAAAACTGTTAATGTCCTGACTGCAAAATATTCAGTGTATGAAAACAAATCCATCTGTGTAAACATCAATACCGCTGAAGATATTTTTGTATGGTTTGATCCCCTGGGAGAGACACGCTGACTCATAACCACTTTCCAGCCCCCAAAAATTGAAGAAATGTGATATGTAGGACAAGTTACACAGAGATTGTAATACACGCTGTATTTTTTACACATACCTTGTTGATTTTGTTGGTTTTGGGGAGCGTCTGACTGATGTGCAGGTCTGTGTACCTGAGCGGGTTGTTGATGTCACATGGCACTGATTCTGTCCGTACCAGACGAGCTACTATAGGAAAAAAGCACAGAGGAACAATGAAGCACTGTAGGAGACTGAAATTAAACAACACTCGCCTAATAGCTTTAGGGAAATTAGAAGAAACTCTTTATCAGGCCCTGCTTCTAATGTGAAAAATGAACAAACTGCCCTTTCTTGAACACCATCCATTTATTATCGCATACAGACACTTTGTTAAGAAAAAAAGTTTCCTTAAGCAAACTATGTCATTAAGAAAACTGTCACTTTCTATTACTAAAGCAATGTAAAAGAAGTCAATTAGTGTTCTTTACCTTGAGTTGTTCCTTGGTGGTCTTATTGGGGGGAGAAGGGGGGGGGGGACAGAGAAAGAACAAAAATCTCAATGCTGATAGCAGATAATGGGAATTTTTTCAGTCCTGTCTGTGTCAGTACAAACAGTGCTTGACGCAGTCACATTTGTCAAACCTAAGTGGCTTAATTAATCACCAGATAACCTTCTATCTGCTAAACTAGCAGAGGCTCTTTCACTTTTTTAAATGGGGCTGAAAAAAATGTCTCTTTAGTGGCTCTAACGACTCAGACACATTCAATATATGAATAACAATAAGGGAATAATACAACAGGGTTTAAAATCTAGCTAGTTCTGGTCCTAACCAACCAATTTAATATCCACATAAAACCAGCTAATTTTCAAGCAATTCCATCTTTGGTACAAGCGGGGTTGGTAGGGCCAGTAATGATAGTTTGGGATAGTTTTAGAAATGACTACTGTTACTTGAAAGTTGTCATCAATTACTCATTACATATTATGCCACTGAAAAAAGATTTTACTAATCAAGTTTAACAAGCAGCCAGCCTGCATACAACACTGAAGTCCTGTTACCAATGTGAAGTTACATGGTCACACACCCTCTGAAACTGACAAAAATCAGGTGGCCCCTGAATGTTGGTGAAGCAGTAGAGTGGCTAGCCAGCAGCTAAAACACAACATGTACTTCAGTCAACTGTGGAATTACTGGGAGGCCTGTTTCTTGTTCCTGGAAGGCGCATTTCTTCTTTTGGCAGAGGCTAACCACTTTCCCACATGTCTAGCCTCGGTGCCAAGCTTAAGCATATCAAGGTGTATTCAGACAGAGCACAAGGCTAATTCTAGAGGCAGAATGACAGCGTACAAAATTGACTAAAAGATGCACGTGGGTATGATCAGGCACAAATTTGCTTGGGATGATGCAAATTCAGGTGAGAACGAATCCGTGCAAGCTGAAAATGTTTCAACAATATCTGAGTGAGTTCAGCAGTCAGTCAGAAGCTGCCACACAAACACGCACAGACACATTCGCATACACACAATCGGCGCTTACATTTCTGTTTCTCTGGAATCAACACAGACTACACAAACAATCCAGTATTCAAATTTGCTCCCCATTTGAACAAACCTTATTAACCATTCAACCCTACATCAAACCCCCAGTAAGACTGAAAACAAGCTGACTCCCAAAGGAGTGGTATAAATAACAATCATCAACACTGGAAATGACAACATACTAGTCTTCCACAAGGAAAAAGGCAATAAATTAAAGACAAAACATGAAACCTGGCTCATGTAGGCTGAAATGTTGCATTGAAAAAAATACCTTTAAGGGATTCTCGTCCACCTCGCTGTATGATCAGTAAATGGCAAGGTGGGGCTTCTTTGGTGCATTTGTTGTGGCACTTCAGCCTGAGTGCATACATAGGGAAATTTGGTTAGTGTTTGCCTTATTGTTGTTGTTGCCATCATTCTACAGTGATTAAACCTATGTCGAAAACAGACAAGAGCTAATTTATTCAAGTGATAAGATAAATAATAAAAACAAAAGGGTTCGTGTCACAAAAATCACCTAGAAATACAAACCAAATCAAGCAAGATGACACACAAATTTCATAAAATAATGACAGCATTATCAGTGAATGTGTACACAAATCACTACTATTAGCAATAAATGGTAAGACAAAAAACAGCCTGGATACCTACTTGCAGTTTTTACATTTCAGTCCAAACAACATTCCCTTTCCACATACTATGCATGTCTGGGACATCCAATACTTTGTGGAAAACCTGCAGGCAAAAGTAGAGAGAGTGAGATAAGGACATTTACAAAAGTCAAGACATCACTTTCAGCTTGTTGCACATCTATATGACATGTAAGAGCTTACCATGAGAACAGTGCTTTTGACCTTTGTCTTTCATAACATTCTCTCATTCTGACAGACGGCATTCCCTACGTAACCTTTCTGCAAGGATAGTAAATACCTGAAGAGGCTACTTCTGTGAAAGTGTTTACCTTCCTAATCTCCCTTACTAACTGATTTAATTTGGGCCCATTTCATTTTCATCTTTCAGTTACGCTGTGCGAATGAACAGGGTTTACATCAATACAAGAATCAGTCTGGGTGACGGGAGCTCGGAGGCCTGCACCGCTCTTAAAGGGTCCAACACAGTCTCCTCTCAAACAAACAAATCCACAATGTGCTCCGCAGTAGCAACCAATTCCCTGCACAGATTGACTGAGAGGTACGGGCACGTATGCGACTATTGGCTGTATTTACTGATGCGACGCCTGGGTGCCAGCAGTGCCGCTGGCTGGCTAATGGCAGGTGACTAATGTAGTTTGACAGAGTCCAAACCTCTTTATTAGGCCCCTCCTTCCCCTCAATTGAGAGGCACGACTCAATCCAATTCTTCACAGATTTTTTGTGGACTCTGCTGTCAAATATGAACGGTGATGTGACATTAAGGGCAGATTCTGCATAAAGAAATGTTCAGCACAGCAGAGGCTCCAAAGCCCAACTGCTGCATTGTGTACCAGCAATACGCATATGCACTTATCTTAACGGGCCAACAATGCGATCAAGGGCACATGTTAGAAATATGCAAATTGGCACATCAAGGAGATTGTTGGATGGAATAATGGCATTTCTCTTAAAACCAGCCTTAATCTTCAAATAACAGCTCTATAAATTACATTTGCGCTCAGTTTGACTGCGTATAACGAGGCTTAGAGCTTCTCTCTCCACCTCGCTGACTTTCAGCAGGCAAAACACCCACGTTCTGGAGGTTGCTGAGATCCCACAACTAATACGGTATTGTTTTACTTTTTAGATCACTACCATTTGTAGTCAAGCAGGGTGAGAGAGAAAGAGAAAGGCAGACAAAGAGAGAAAGAGAACTGAGATGTTATGCAAGAGGCCCTTTTTCTAATTGGACTGGCATTCTGTCACAGTGGTATGAGTGAATGCACATAGGCAAACTCACACGCACTCACCCACACATTTTTCTTCAGCCCTACCTGTGTTTTATTGAGTTTCCCAGATCTCTTCGGGGAATCTGTGGGGACCAGCGAGGCACTGAGAGAGTGTCTGGAGAGGAAGAAACAGGAGGTTGTTTTTCATTAAATGGTAATACCGACAGAATGTCTTTCAGAATTGACTAAGTGTCTTGCATTAAACATTCAATTTAACACATATGGCATTTTGACATTTTGGTGTCGGACTTAATTATCTGTTTATATATCATGCACACAGTTACTCATGACTCATTGTAAATGAGATGAGAAATGAGAGTCAAATTAGATAGATAGATAGATAGATAGATAGATAGATAGATAGATAGATAGATAGATAGATAGATAGATAGATAGATAGATAGATAGATAGATAGATAGATAGATAGATAGATAGATAGATAGATGCATCAGTCAACAATAAATCATGTGAATTGTTTGCATGTATAGAAGCAGATATATTGTATGATATGGCTACTTTGGTGCTACCTTTATTCCATTGTGAGGCACTCTTGCTTCAAAAGGTTTTCACAACAAAAACCATTCGCTTGGTCCATTAGTGCTTGCAATGACTGAGTGGCACAATACATTTATGCACAACCTCTTAATATCAGGTGAGAATGGCAGCCTACACAGACTTGCCTGTGAAGGCGGCTAGATGTGGTGGATATGCATTGAGATCACTGAAATAATGTGGTAAGTGCTGGCTGCCAATAATTCCATAACAAATTAGCCAAGCTAAAAAATGCCCAAAAAAAGTCATAGGTCATACCAGAAAATGCATCATCCAAGATCCCTTTTTGTTCTCAGTGTGGTATTTAAATTTATGCAGAAACCCAACATTACAGGCATATTTAGGTAATGTTCTGTTATACTTTTGACAGTTTAGAAATGAATAAATACAGTCAGCCCAAACAAAACATGAAATAGGATTTTTTCACATTTTCACCACACCAATCAACACCCTTTGAAATGTTTCTTAAAAGAGTCCTCCACTGAACTTTGCGTTTCTTAAATATTGTCCTACTCATGTTGGACAGTTAATAAAAGGGATAAATATTAATTATGTAGAACAAGCGATTTTGTGCATGCATTGTTCTTCCATGTCTAAAACTGACACCTATAATACCCTTAATGCAACTCGACCGCAGACAAGCCTCAAACAGAGCTGAGGAGCGGGTTTCAGAGGTCTGGCAAGCTCACTTCCACACAACCATTTATTTTTCAAACTTGTAGTCTGCAGCCCTTACAATCTATCAGTTACAATACCACTTAATACAATAGCAAGGTATGAGGCAATTTATCAGAATTGGCACAGCTCTGGATCCACTCATGGTTTTATAGTTTTTTCACACATACATACTCCCAAAGACCTGTTAACAGACTTTGATGTGTATAATCAGCACACTTTCTCTTTAAAGTTTTGTATATTATATTTGCAGAAAAAACAGGTTTTATAAAAACTGAATAACTATGCACATACTCTGTGCTATTCATAGGCATACACTGTATCATCTCTCATCGTTTGCATCTTCTTGGCTGTCAGTCCCAATTTTGAGTGGAAGGTGTGTTTAAAGAAAACAGCTCAGTCAATAAATGTGCAGCTTTGAATTGACAAAATAAAACTGAAGAGAGGAAAGGATAGAGTCAAATCTGTGATAACTGAGAAATTTTCGAAGGACCTTTACGCAGGTCTTTATGAGTTATTCATGAGTATTTTGTTACTTTAAACTGGGAAATGGATGCCAGGAAGAGGGGATTAGAGGGGACTTGAGATTTTTGTGTGTGGGTGGGTGGAGGAGTTGAACAATAAATCAATCAATTGTGAGGATAAAGAGGAAACACACTTTCCTCAATGCATCAAACTCCAAATGCCTTGAAAATGGAACTGTGGGCTGAGGTGTGCACTGAGATTGATCTCCATATGAGAGGACTGAAGAGGCTTGCTTCAATTAGGCCCAGAAAGAGTTTTTCAGCTGAAAATCCCACAATTCTGCCCAAAAGAATTAATCATTTATGAATTTGAGGACAACTTTTTAAAACATTTTCAAATGTCTTTTTATTTAATAGAAAACAGAAAATGCATTAAGATCCATTGTTGAAATGCCATTGGAAGAACACTTTGGGGAGACATTGGGCAGAGTCCAAGAGTAGAGTGTTTCCAAATTGGCACTCCAGTCATAATCTCAAGTTGGCAACAATACTGTTTCTTTCTTAATAAGTTTGTGATCTTGGCATTCACAGCGAAAGAAGATTGCTACAATAGACACTATAGCTTGGTAGATACTGTATATTTCCTGCAGTTGTTTGCATATGACTATTACTGAAGTCAAGACCCTGGTTAGCACTGTCACCTAATAGCAAGGTTCGAGACTGCCAGCCAGTTAACTGGCATCTATAAAACTGCCCATAGGTGTGAATGTTACCGACCTGTCCATGGTGTACCCCACTTCTCCAGCCCCACCAAGATCTCCAATGATAAGTGAGTTTGGGTAGATGAATATTCTGCCCCCTCATGAATTTATGTAAATAAGGTGGACAAGATATAATAAACACCTTTCAATGTAATACACTGCAGTACAACATCACCACTAATACAAACTCAATAATAAACATAGTCAAAGTCAAATTATCCCTCACATTGTCAAAACAAACTGAACTCTATGCTTCATAAAAGTGTAATTCGTGGCTTTTGTATTGTTTTAGATTGTGAACTAATTAAGTGGCTAGTGAGTGTACTTTGAGTGATTTTTCGTTTGGAAAAAAGAAATTCTAGATCACACAGTCTTCTAATTGCGTTTATGTACTTTTTGTAATTTGCACTTACTTTCTCTCTGCCTCTTTTTAACAATGATTAATGTAGGTTGAAGATGACTGATGCAGATGCTGACATTAGAACTGACAGCATCGGCAGCAGATAAGAGAGATAAGCAATCTTTGTGTGATTCAAAATCTTCATCTGGTGATGGGCTCAATCAGTCCTATTAATTGATTACAAGGCTTTGAGTCGTTGACTGTGCTAATCTCATGGCCCCGGTGCCGTATAGCATTTCCTGGTTCCTGAAACACCCTTCCTCCCTCCTCCAGTCTCTCCAGAGGCTTGGTGTCTTCTCTCTGCACGCCGATGCATTGCTCAATTACACTCAATCAGCCTGATAACTCAATTGAGAGGGGAAACTGACATCATCTGCTTCTTGTCGGCCTTGTTGGCGACTGGCAGATGATTGGACTTGTCAGCGGCGTGGTCAGGGCTATTTATCGTTGTGTATGCATTCTGTTGACGTCGCTGTCTGTCATCCACAACAAGCCTTGATGATCCAACCATCCCTCAAACAACGGGGGGATTGTAGATTTATGTCAGTAAGTACTCATAAGAACAAACACGTAAACACATGCTCACAGACATTTCAGTCATACAAAGAAGCGTAAGCTTTGCAGACACCTTGAATTTGGTCCTGCCCTGTTAAGAATGGCATTTGGCCATTAAGTCAGAGGTTGGGTCAGAGCTTATTTACAAGTAAGATGATGAATCCAATTTTGATTGAGCTATTAATCTGTATTTGTTGTATTTAGATGCATTGATGTGGATATGTATCTTTTAGTTTGGTTTGCACTGATGTAGTTTGGGTTAAAGGTTCTATTGTTTAATTTTTTGGGATATTTTATATCCGTCCTTTATGGTTACCTCTATGGTAGTAGTATTTATTGGCAGTGGCGGAGTCCGCCATTCCCATGCTAGAAGATTGCCTACCTAACATAAAGGATTGAGATGAAAACATGCATGCATGTAAGACAGAGCAGTTTTATATCATTGATCATTGATCAGCCTCACTATTAACTGTTAGTTCCTTTTTACACCATTTTAGGTTTGTAGTAAGCTACTGCTAATGCAAACAGAGCGGCCTACTGCTGCTGTTTATTGAAGCGTTAAAATAACAGAACATCAGGTAGACAAAACAGGCAATCTTTTCATCAGTACATCGTTTTTCTGTAGTAGTAACTAAACAAGAAAGAGCAGCCTCAGTGAGCTGTTAGATGAGGAGCTGCAGGTGACACTTCCAACTTCTCAGTCAGTTTTTACTGTGTCTTTTTGTGTTTTCACTCACTTGAAGTGTAAATGAAGGTTAATAAAGGTCAATAAAGGTGATTTGATGTTTACACATACAGGTGTTGTGTAAACATCAAATCACATAACTAAAGCAAAACCACTGGAAATATTCGGACATGCAAAACACCATACCAAGACAAACAAGGGTGTGTAGTTTCTATGTGCATATATCCACGTGTGTGTGTGTGTGTGTGTGTGTGTGTGTGTGTGTGTGTGTGTGTGTGTGTGTGTGTGTGTGTGTGTGTGTGTGTGTGTTTGTGTGACAGATGAGTGTGCAGGAGCCAAGAAACCCCAAGGCGCCAGACAATAGTGTCCTCCTCCATCTTCTTTGATTGGTCTCAGCCTAATTAAGCCAAGGCCTTCCTTCCCCCTCCTTCATTGGCTGGTCACATGACATACAGCAGGCCATGGGATGGAGTATGCTGTGTGTGTGTGTGTGTGTGTGTGTGTGTGTGTGTGTGTGTGTGTGTGTGTGTGTGTGTGTATTTTTGTGTGGGTTAAAGAGAGAAATGTAACTACACTGAAAGATGAAGGAATATATGTTTCTGTCTGTGTGTGGGTTAAACAGAGGGGGGCGGGTGTGTGTATGCAGAGATAAAGAGACTACTTGAGTCTAGGAGCCTATTTAAAGCCAAATATAGTTTATTTGACGTTAGTCTGAGATGCTTTTCCAAGTGATTGACTGAGTGCTAAACACTGCTATTCCCTGTGGAGGACAAATTTTTACTGCGGTTAAAAAAAGAAAAGAGTGGAGCGTGTGACAATTAAACGACATGAGATACATACAACAAGGGAGAAAAAACACACAAATTCCAATTATTCTCATTGTACACCGCCTCTTGTCACTATCAGAATCATCAAGGTCCTACAGCTCAATGGGCAGAGTGTAGCACTTTGGCGGTTTGGATAAAAGCTTCAATCAAATGGTTGAATGCAATCAACGGTATAACTGTCACAGCATCATTGAG